CGCACCATATTTCAAGTGCTCCCCTGCCAGAGGGGGGCCTGTGGCCCCGAGTGGACAGTGCATCCCTCCCCGCTCCTGGGGACTAATATCGGACCTCCCTGGGCCTGGTCTGTGAAGCCTCGGGCAGGGGTCCCGCAGTGGGTGCACAGGACCCAGGAGTGGCCCTCTCTCCTCCAAGGCCGCTGCCAGTGGCCGACTGGAAGTCTCCAGACTGGCCTCTCAGACACCCGGAGGTAAGTCACTCTGCTCCCTTGGATTGTCCGGGAACCGATGGCCTTTCCTGAGCCCCTGCTGTCTGTGGCTGGGGGGCTCAGGGCTCGCTCCCAATTCAAACCTCACCCACAGAGCAAACCCGAGTGGAGACAGCGGCCCCCGTCATGCCCGGGCGGCCACGTGAGCCGGTATTAGGGGCAGCCCCTATGCCTGGTCATGTCTGAGGCAGCACATGATGGGGGGGACTCAGTGTTCCATGGCAGCTCGGGGTGGGGGGTGGGAGCCCAAGCGCACACAGCCGCAGCTCCCATGCCCCGTGCCAGTAGGTCCCAAGGCGCTCTGGGCTCAGGCGGGGGTGGGGCAGTGGCTGGAGGGCTCCAGTGGGCCTCTCCTGCTCAGAACCTTCCAGAATTCACAGCACTAACACCTTGGGTTCACAGTGCTCCAGCCCTGTCCCCCTCCCCCAGCCTCAGGTCTCCCTACCCTCCAGTTCACCCTCCATGAGCCTGCAGTTCCTGGAAAACACCATCCACTTTCTGGCCTCTGGGCCCTGATACATGCTGTTCCCTCCACCGCAGCCCCCTTTCCTGCGCTCACCTCCAGGCTGGTCCAGGTCGCTCTGATCCCGCCTTGAGTCTCAGCTTACCTGTCACCCTGTCAAAGAAGCCCTCGCCAACAGTCCTGACTCCATTACGGCGCCTGTCGGAAATGCCCTGCCTTGCTTGGGTCCCCGGGGGCCCTGAGTTTCTAACAGCTGCCCCTGGAATACAAGGTTCACCCCTGACTCACGTGTCCCCCTATCTCCGCCACCCCCCACCATGGCATGAGACAGCTGAGTCCGGACACATTCACCCCCGCCCCCAGCTCATTTTCCGTTAAAGATGAGACAGGTCAGGAGGGCCCCGGGCCACAAGCCTCGCTCCACAAATGAGGAAATAGGCCTAGGGTGGGCTTGGGTGGCCAGAGGGTGGAGGCCACCAGGCATGAGGGGAGACCCTAGTGTGGGCCTCGGCTCCTTGACGGGAGCGGAGGAAATGGCACAGGGTCATCATAAGAAAGATCTGTCTTACATGAAGCAGTGAGCTCCCCGTCCCTGGAGGCGTAGAAGCAACAGCACCAGGTGCCGGTAGAGGGGTGGGAACCCTGCACAAGGGTTGATGTGCCCCTTTAAGGGGTTTCCCTTCAGCTCTCAAGATTTAGGCCTGGCCAAGGTCACAGGCAAGGCCCGAAGGAACCATCCCACCCACCCAGGCCGTTCCCCCTCTCAGGGCCAATCATTAATTGGCACCGCTTGAGTGGCTGCTCCCACGAGTGCCCCCGGCTGGCTGCCAGCTCCTGGCCCGGTGGCTCCCATCCCGTGCCTGGGGCACCCGCGTGCCTCCGACAGCGGGGCCAGGCGGTGAGGCCGGCCCCACTTCCTGCTCGTGACTCCCAGTAGCTGAGCCCCGGGAGGAGCAAGGCAGGCTCAGCCCCCATCACAGCGCCCAGCACGGCTCCTGCCTCCCACAGGACTCAGCCCAGCTCGGCCCGCAGCCAGAGCCCTCCCGGCCTTCATCAGAGGGCAGAGAGGAGCAGGGAGGGCTTTGGCCATGAGGGAGACTCAGCCTGGACCTTGGAAAGCCCACCAGCCCGGGGCGGAGTGCAGGAAGAGCCTGAGGCAGGCGCTGAGCTGGCCCAGGCTGAGAAGTGCAGGGAGGTTGGAGCGCCAGGATGTGACTAGGCCTGGCTGCAGACAAGGAAGAGCCAGGGAGGGTTGGGGAAATCAGATGTGAGTAAGCGGAGCAGACGGGAGGGCCTCCCAGGGCGAGACACAGCAGGAGCAAAGTCCCTGAGAAGGGAAGGGGCCGGTGCGCAGGGAAGAGAAGGAAGTCAGCTATGGCTGAAGCTCCGGTTTCCAGAAGGGATGGAGGGAGGCAGGGGTGAGGTAGGGCATGGGCTACTCAGACTCGAAGCTAAGGAGTTAACTATCCTGGGCAATAGGGAACTACTGCAGGTTTTGGAGGAAGAGAGTGATGTGGCACGGCCGGGGCTGGGTCGGAGGCAGGAGGAGGCACTGACAGCTGCAAGGGGAGGGTCAGAGAGGCAGGCCCTGCAGTGGCCATGGGGCAGAGTGGAGGGGTGGACAGGGGAGATGACACCAGGTTTCTGCTGAGACAATTGGGTGGTCAGGCTGGCAGGGGGAGGCTGGGGACGGGACATCTAAACAGCAAGATGCTGAGCACATCAGGCCAGAGGGGCCACCGGTCAGCAGCGCCGAGCGGCCCACAGGAGCAGCCGTGCTGGTCTCAGCGCCCAGGGAGAGCTGTCTGAGGGGAGCTGAGAAGGGGCAGCCAGAGACACAAGAGGAAGCCCGGGCGAGCCAGGGCCCAGCCAGGGAAGAGGGGGTCAGTCGGCCATGCGAAGGTTACTAATGGCCTGGACAGGGGTGGTGGGAGCGAGAGAAGGGGAGGCATGGGGACAGCGGGTGTGGACAACCCTGCCAGAAAGCTTGCCTCCGAGATGCTGATGAAAGCGAGAGGGGGTGTCTTAGGGGGGCTCCCCAGAAGCAGAGCTGGAGACGCCAGATCCCAAGGGGAGCTCAGGGCATGAAGAGCACCGCAGAGCAGCACCCCCTGGAGGCAACGGTGACATTTACACATTTACACCCCCTGCATCAGTCTGCCCTTGGCCGTGGCTGCCCGTCCCTGGGGGCAGAGCTGCAGACCCTCCCAGGCTCACATTGGGCCGAGGGCTAGTCTCCAAGAACGAAGAGCAGGGAGCTGTTAGCCGCTGTCCTCACAGCTCTGGGGTGGGTGACACTCAGTAATGGTGATCTGGATGGCCACCACCAGCGTCCACTGTCGGGCAGGTCACTGGGTGGGGGGCCAATGCCACTCCTCTGGGCTTTGGACTGTTCTAGCAGTTGGGCCTTTACTCGGGTACTGTTGGTGGACCCCCTGCCTGGGGCCTGACCTGAAGCGAGGCTCGGAGCAGCCACGTCTCCCTTACCGCCTGTGTCTCGTGGTCCCAAAGAAAAGTCCAAGCTCCCACCCCCATCCAGCCACGGGACCGTTTTCACTGCCCGTCTCTCTTTGCACAGTGAGTCGGCGAGATGACCAGAGAGGGTGGCAGAAACCTGGATCTGAACCCAGCTCCACCGAGGGCAAACCGGGCAACCCCACAGTCCCCTGGGCCTCAGTTTCCTCAGCTGTGCAGCGGGATGAGAGCCCACTCGGCACGAAGTGGGCACTGGTGTTGACATCCTCCCAACTGTGTTGATGGGCGGGCAGCCACATCCTCCCCAGTTGGCACCTGGAGGGAAGGAGCTGCACTTGGGTGGTGGGGCCCCAGGGAGGGGGGTGCCATCCTCCTGGTTGTGCCAGGTGCCACCCACAGGCTGCTCACCACAAAGAGGCCCCTGGGGGCTATCCCCTGCGCCACCTCCAGCTCCACGCCAGGCGTTCCAAGTCCTGCAGAGCTCAGCTCTGGCCTGGGTCCCAGCTCCTGGGCCCTCTGGGGTTGGAAGAATGTGTTGTGCCCACACGTTCGGGGCCCACCTGTGCCCGCAGGCTGGGGTCTGGAGTAGCAGGGCCCCCCAGCATGCCTGGCTCTGTGCCTCTGAGTTATCGCTCTCCCCCATCTGACCCTCACCACGGCCTGGAGGGGCAGCTCACGTCACTATTCCCACCCTCACTGGTTCAAAAGCAGTTTACTGAGCACCTACTGTGTGCAGGCACTGGGAGAGGCTCTGGGGACCCGGAGGAGGGCCTGCTCACTCGGAGCTCAAGTGACAAATGAGGAAACTGAGGCCCAAGCAGCCCCAGGTGCCCTGCTCAAGGTCACACAGCTGGATTCAAATCCAGGTCTGACTCCAGAAGTCATACTTTTCCCTTTAAGCCCCTCTCTGGGCCTCAGTCTCCTTCTCTGTAAAATGGGCACGATATAGCCTCCCCCTGGGCTGTGAGGACAGGAAGACAGGGTGTGTGGCTCAGGGACTGTGCGCAGCACAGTGGGGCGTGGCCAGCAGAGACCTTTCCACCGGCTGATGTGCTTCAGGGGCTGCCACTGCCCATGGGATTGGAGGCTCACCCCCATCCCCCATCCCGACCCTTCCTGCACACTCCACCCCCCGCCCTCCAGCCCGTCAGGCTCCTCGATGCTTCCACAGGTGTCACGCCGCGGCATCCCACGCACTCCGCTCACGCTGTTCCCTCTGCCTGGAATCCCTTCCACTCGCAGAATCACAGCACCATCTATTTATACAGCACTTACCATGAGCCGGGCACCACTCGCATGAGGCCCCTTGCAGGCACTACTACTGTTACCCCGTTTTCCAGATGTGGAAGTGGAGGCATGGAGAGACGAAGCAGTGTGCCTAGGTCCACACAGCTGCTAAGCAGCAGAGTGTGCCTTTACCCACTGCACTGTACTGCCATGCCACCAGCCTGCCCAGCTCACGTCCACGCCAGGACCATGTCCCCGGCCCCACAGCCCAGAGCGAGGACCCTCATCCACTTATACACCAGCTCCTATGGATACCTCCCCCGCCCCAGACGCAACGGTGCCCCAGAGGGCCAGGCCGGGTCTGGGTCTCCCTGGGGTCTCGGGCCCCCACCCCAGCAAGACTCAAAAGGAGATACGGGGAAAGCTGTTATGGCAAAAAGTCGGTCAGTGGGGCCGGTGCAGAACAGTGAGCGTGGGTGGCCTGGCCTGGCCTCTGGTGAGTGGTGGGTGGCCTGGCCCTGGCCCTGGCCCTGGCCCCCGAAGCCACGATGGCGGGGTCCCCTGGAGCCCAGAGGTGCCCTTACCTACTCGGAGCTCTTGCCCGAAGACGGTCTTCTCGCCGAGGGCGGAGCAGTTCCAGCGTCCGAAGCGGAACTGGTACTGGCACTCGTTGATGCCCATCTGCGCCCCCTCCCCAATCACAATGATGGCATCCGGCCGGCTCTGGCAGATGGCGCGCTGCCGCGGGGCCAAGCCGGGAATCTTGTTGCAGATGATATTGGCGCCCAGGGCCACGACGGATGACAGCGCTCTGCGGAGAGGGCAGAGGACACAGTGAGACAGCTGGGCGGGGCCCTCCCCACTCAGTCTCGGCAGGCGAGTGTGTTCCAGGCGCCCACCACACGCCCAGCTCTGCCCACCAGGGAACAAAGCACAGATCCCTGCCCTTGGGGGGCCGTTTTCCATCCACTCACATGCGTGATCCTGGCCTCAAAAGGCACAGACCCACACCTTCTCAGCCTGGGACTCGCAGGAACCATGGTATCACCAGTCTGGCCAATCGATGGTCCCACAGGATTGTGAGAACCGCAGCTCCCCTGCCTCTGAATCAGACACGTGGACCCTTGGGGGACGTGATAACCCACCTGGCATTTGACAACCATCAACTCGGGACTGTCCACAGCGGCCCCCGGGCAACAAGCCCCAACTCCAGACAGTGGGGGCTTTCCCATCACTCGTAGACCCCTTGCTCCCTCTCCCCCCACCCCTGGGTGTCTGGGCCAGGCAGGCTGCTGAGTGGGCCGGCCTGGCTGGGAGGCAAGCCCACCTGGGCCTGGCTCCCGCTGCAGCCCATGTGTGACCGTGGGAAGGCACTCCACTTCTCTGAGCCTCAGTTTTCAAAGCCATGAAATGGGGTATAAAACACCTGACCCCATCACCACCACATAGGAACGGCAGAAGAAGGCTGCACACATGGGGACAGCTGCTGTTATTATTATTCACTCGTTTCTGGATGACTGGGAGCACTCAGAGCAGGAAAAAGGAGTTGACATGAATTGAGCACCTACTGTATGCTAGGCTGGGCAGGGTGCTTTATTACAACATCGTATCCTCAGAGTGGCCCCCAGATGGTGCCTTGTAATTAATCTCTTAGCACTCCCCAGGAGCTGAGATCGAGACAGGAGGCTTGCGAGGCTCACTCTCTCTTGACCGGAGGTGTTATCGCGTGACGGTTTGTTTGTTTAATGAGGTGAAATTCACATAACATGAAGTTAACCATTTCAAAGTGTACAATTTCACAGCATCGAGTACATTCACAGGTTGTACAACTGCCACTGCTACCAAGTTCCAAGATATTGTCACCACCCCGAGAAGAAACCCATACCCCTTAGCAGGGGCTCTCATTTCCTCCTCGCCCAGCCCCTGGCAATAGCTACTCTGCTTCCCTACAGATTTGCCTATTCTGGACATCTCACACAGAGGGAGTCACACAACATGTGACCTTTCGTGTCTGGCTTCTTTCACTTAGTATCATGTTTTCAGGGCTGATCCACATCGTAGCATGAATCAGTACGTACTTAGTTCCTTTTTATGGCCAAATAATATTCCATTGTATGCAGCAACCACATTCTCTTTATCCATTCATCACAGATGGACATTTGGGTTGTTTCCACCTTTTGGCTATTGTGAATAATGCTGCTCACAACATGTGTACACAAGTTTTTGTTTGAATGTCTGTTTTCAATTCCTTGGGGCATTTGCCAAGGAGTGGAATTGCTGGGTCGTATGGTAGTTTGTTTAGTTTTTTGAGGAACCGCCAAACTGTTTTCCACAGAAGCTGTCCCATTTGGTTTGGAGCAACCAGGGGAGAAGGGGCAGCAAGCTGGAAGGAGGTGGGGGCTGGTTTCCACAGACCTTTGGGCAACAGCTGCCTTTCAAAACGGCATTTGGCTTCCAAGCAACAGACGGGCCTGCTTAGCGAGGGGACAGAAGGTGGGAGTGGGGGACCACCAGGGGCACCCCAGAGTGGATGGCCATGGCCCTGGCCTCCCAGCCCAGTGAGTGCCCTCCTTCTGCCACCGCCTGCCAGCCCCTTTCTTGAGAGAAACGAGTCAGTGTTTTTCCAGGGCGGCCGAGCACCCACAGCCAGCTGGGAAAGTCCCCGTGTGGCGTGAGCCCACAGCACGTGCTGCGACCAGGACGCCCCAACCGACACTCAATCCCCACAGCCCGCCTGCCCCGCCCGCTAATCTGGCCAAGATCCCCCTGGGTCTCCCACGGGCACAATGGGCAGAAACGCCTGAGGCTGGCCTGGAGGAAGAGCATCTGGGTGGCTGGGGCCCCGAGCAGGCTGGAATCTGGAGAATTCAGCCCAAAGTAATTGTAGAGCCTCAGAAAGCCAACCCGGGGAAATGAGATGGATGGGAACCCCGCTGGGCACCAGTCTCCAGGCCACAAGTCCTAGCCGCTTTGGATCCTGGACGCTAACAGCACACTCCAAATTCCCAAATTCTTCAGCAGGCTCAGGGCTGCAAAGTGCCCACTGCCTGGGGTCAGAATGCCTGCGGGGGCAGGAGCTCAGACAAGTGGGGTCTGACTGGGGGCACCTCGGTGGGGCCTGGGATGCACCCTGGAGGCAGAAATAGATGGTTGCAGCCCAGGTCTCCGGCCTCCAGGCAGGTCACCCCAGCCAGCGCCAGCACCCAGGTCTGACCGAGTCACTTGCCCGCTCATAACCCACCCACAGCTCCCCGAGCTCCTTTGCTAGAATGAGGTGCCTCGGGATCTGGCCTCTGACAACCCTGCCACCTTTGCTTGTGCTGGTCCCTCTGCCTGGCACATCCCTCTCCCTCCCCTTCTCTGTCTGACAAACTCTACTTCCCTTCCAGGCCCAAGTGCAAGCCCCATGGGGCTCAAACCCCTCGGCCCCGGGCACTGAAGACGCACGCCGTGGGCCCTTTCTCTTGTGTGCTGACCTCACCCCTGGTCTCATGGTCGCTGTTTCCACGCCCAGCCTCCCCACCAGACCAAGAGCACCGCGAGTGCAGTGCCAGGTCTGAGCTGACTCTGGGGCTGCGGGCGCTGCCCCGTGCAGCTGTTCATGAGTGTTTGTGGAACAGATGAATGAGTGAATGAGTGAGTGAATACTCAAGGATTATGTCTAAAAGAGTTCTTACAACTCAATAACAAAAAGACCACCTAATTTAAAAGTGGGCAAAGGACTTAGACATTTCTCTGAAGAAGAGATACAAATGGCAAAGAGCATGTGAAAAGATGCTCAACATCACTCATCGTGAGGGATGTGCACATCAGAACCACAGTGAGTGCCACCTCACACCGGCTAGGATGGCTGTGATCAAAACGACAGAAAATAGCACACATGTTGGCCAGGATGTGGGGAAATGCAAACCCTCATGCATTGCTGGTGGGAATGTGAAATGGTGCAGCCGCTGTGGACAACAGTTGGGAAGTTCCCCCAAAAGTTAAACATAGGATTACCGTAGGACCCACCAACTCCAGTCCTTCGTGTATAGCCGAAGGAACAGAAGACAGGTGTTCAAAAAAAACTTGTACACAAACGCTCATAGCAGCACTATTCAGAATAGCCAAAAGGAGGAAACAACCCAGTGTCCATCAACGGATGAATGCACTAACAGAATGTGATGCACCCACACAATGGAATATTATCTGGCCATAAAAAGGAATGAAGTACGGATACATGCTACGTGGATGAACCTCAAAAGCATTATGCTAAGTGGAAGAAGCCAGCCACAAAAGATCACATGTTGTACGATTCCATTTATATGAAATGTCCGGCAAAGGCAAATCCACAGACAGAAAGTAGACCCACGGCTGCCAGGGGCCAGGGGGAGGGGGAATGGGAGTGACCACTTAGTGGGTGTGGAATTTCCATCTGGTGTGATGAAAAAGTTATGGAACTAGATAGAGGTGATGGTTACACAACATCGTGGAGGTACTAAATGCCACTGAATTATACACTTTAAAATGGTTAAAGTGGCAGATTTTATGTGTATTTAACCACAATTCAAAAAAATTCTAGCTATACACAGCACTTCCACACCTCATAGGTGGGATCTGTGGGAGAGGATGAGAGGGAACTTGTGTAGTGGGTACCCGGCTTGTACTGGCCTGTACGCTTCCCTGGGGGGTGTGGGGCTGATGGAGTAGAGGGGACAGGAGCCCCCAGCCCCGCCCAGTATGCCAGTGGGAAGCAAAGGCGTCTGGGAGGAGAGCCACAGTGGATTTTGTGCCAGGAGCATAAATAATCAGACACAATTGATAATTCAGAAGTCATTTCAAAAACCATCTCCCTTAGAATGCAGAGATTTTTCCCCTAACGATATTAAACACTCCCATCTGAGTACCAACCTTGGACGACACATGCCTCTGCTGTGTCTCCAACCTCTCCTTGCAGGGTGAGCCCTCCCCACATTCCAAGAGTGCAGACTAGAGCTCAGAGAGGCGAGGGGACCTGCCTGAGACTGCACAGCCAGGCCCGGAGGCCAGTCTCTGCTTCCCGAACCCGGGTGGAAGCAGCACGTGTCTCGGAGAGCCACACACAGCAGGGACGTTACAACACTAGCAGCCGGCCTGGAGCAGGAAACTATGCTCACTCTTCCTTCTCAAAACACAGCTCAAGTCCTTCCCTTGCTTAAAATCCTCCAGGTCACTCTCTAATTCATCCGGGTTTATGGACAGCTTCTGTTGCCGGAGTTCGAGGTCTCGCGACCCTGTCCATCCCCTCCCACACAGCCCGCACGTGCACAGCCAGTCTGACCACTGCCCTGCCCGAGCAGGCCTGGCTGCCACCCCCGAGCCTTGCCCACACTGTTCCTTCGCCTAGAGGGGAGGGGGCTGATAGGCAATCCGCACTGGCCCTCATTAGGAAACCATCGGTGTGGGAAAAAAGGTAAAAATACATAAAAACGAAATAATGGGTGCTCTGGAGGGGAAGAGAAGTGGGTGGACAGAGGCAGCACCCCGGATAATTGGTGGTTTAGGGGTGAGGGCGTGCTATGGGCACTCTCAGCCAGCCGCCCCACAGAGTGGGCCCGGCTCTCCCCACAAAGTGGGAAGAACCCTCTGGGCGGCCTCCTGGCCCGCAGCTGCCCGACCAGGTGCCTGAGAGAGGCTGGCAGGGAGGCTCCAAATGGCCTGTGAGCATAGAGAAGCCGGGCGGGGCCCTCGCGTTTCAGTCGCTGACATTTTCTGTGGAAAATTCTGCTCCGGGCTCGTCCCCTTGTGCTATTCAGGGGCCTCGGGAGACAGGCAAGATGCCAGGAGGAATGG